GTCAAGTTCTATGGACTTGTTATTCCCTCGAGGGAGGTCTGTCAATGGCTGAATCAGAGAGGCACAGTTGGGAATAAAGCGTCGATAATAACTTACCAAGCCATTAAAAGTGCGGAGACTTTTCACCGTCTGTGGCTCTGGAAAGTTCAGTATAGCCTCGACCTTAGTATCCAGTGGGCAAATGCCCTTGCAGTCGGTGGTGTGTCCCAGAAGTGGAGTGTGTCAACGCCTATTTGACACTTTTGAATATTGGTGGTAACACCATGTTGGCGTAACCTTTCAAATGCCAAGTCCAAGTGCCTAAGGTGAGTTTCCTTGTCTGGACTGGCAATGAAGCAGTCGTCTAAGTATGGGTGTACAAAGTCGAGACCGCGAAATACTTCGTCGATGAAGCGTTGGAATGTTTGGGCTGCATTCCGAAGACCGAATGACATACGTAGAAATTCAAAAAATCCGAAAGGCGTAATGATAGCCGTTTTCGGGATATCTTCTGTCGCCATCGGGATTTGGTTATACGCTTTAACCAAGTAGATTTTAGAGAATATAGTCACGTCAGATAAAGTTGTCGTCAAGTCGTGTATATGAGGCAACGGGTAGCAATCAGGGGTTGTTTTGGCATTCACTCGCCGAAAATCACCGGTGGGTCGCCAATCATTGCTTTCCGTTTTCGGAACCATATGAAGTGGGGATGCCCACGGGCTATTCGAAGGTCGAATGATGCCAAGGGTAAGTGTCAGCCACGTCTCGTAAACCGTTGATGCCCAGCTCTTGCTACACTCGGGCTCACGCTGTTCCCTGAAGTTTTTCAGAAACGCTTAGTAATAACGGACGCAAAAACCAAAACACCGATTGGCCGCTTGAGAATTCTTTATTGTAACACCAACATATAGAAAATATTTCTACTAAGGTTTCTGACGGTTTATTGCTGACTTCTTTCTGAACAGCGACCGATGAGACGATGACTGTCGTATTGATGCCTCCACGAAAATATCGGGAAGTTGGGTTTGAGCAAACAACCATGAATTGATCGTTCAATCTCCAACTACATTGACAGTAAGCATATGGTTAAATTCACTCCTGGCGATTCTCAGTTTGTCAGGAGCTAATCGTCGTGCTTTAGACGTCTCATGTTGTCCTGTGGTGATGATGTGGTGCATTACATTGCTGGTTATACACGGTAGGTCGTCCGATGGGCAGTTAAGTTCGGGATACTTGCCAACGATAGGTTGAAAAGTTGGATCAAGAATTGCCTTTACCTTAACGTGTGACCAACCAGGGCCTATGTAGCTGATGCCTTTGATAGACAGACTAGTAGTATTGTCAATCAGTTGTTTTCGGAGGACGTCTACGATTAAATCATGACGATTAAGTAGGTTCGTGCCAATGATGGGCATTGTAACGTCAGCGAGAAGGAAAATTCATCGAATAGGTTTGCGTAAACCTACGTTCAGATAGACGTATTTCCTACCAAAGGTTGCGATTGGTTTTCCATTTGCAGCCTGTAAGTTGAAGGTGGGTTCCTTCTGTCGATCTGATGCTGTAGCAGGAAGGACGCTGACTTCGGCGTCTGTGTCGACTAAATATCAAGTCTGGCTTCTCACATCATGGATGTAAAGCAGGCGGCTAGTGCCACCGGCGACGGTTGCCGCTAACGCGTGCCGGTGGGATAGTTTCTCACAGACTTTGAGACATTTCCGAAGTTACAAGGCTTACGGAAACACTTCGCTTCTTGGCCATAGGTGTTGTGGTATCAGCACCAGTCAGGGTTTTTCAGAGAACGTGGTTTGAACTTAGATCCACCACGTGAGTTCCTGCGTTGAGAAGGTTTAGGACGACGGTCGGAGGATTTAGAATGCATGTTCGACCTAAACATCTGCTGGATGGAGTTGCATAACTTTATCATTGCAGGATCCTTACTCGAAGTCTGCTTAGTCATCGAGCATATTTCGGGAACAGGCCGTTTAGTTATTTCTAGAATCCAATCTGCAGTAATAGCTACGTCATCTATTACAACACCCTGAAGTGTCACAAGTACGGTCTGTACAGACTGTGGCAGCTTGGATAAGAAGAGTTCTCTAAATAGTCCTTCGTCGAACAGACTTTGGCCAATAACTTCTCTCATTCTTGTCAGTATGCCCATGGCTGACTGATCTCCTAACTCGATGTTACGAAACAATTCGTCCAGACGTTGTCTGTCCATGAGAGCGTTTCCTCTGAGGAGGGATGCTTTGAGCAACTCGTACGAGTTACTTACTTCGGGACTGAACATCTGTGATGTTACGTACTTGCTAAATTCCCGCGGTAGGGCGTGAATAACCGCAAATAACTGTGAACGTTGATTGGTTATCCCATGCTCATAAAAATCTGCTTCAGCTAGCTGAAACCACGTTTCAGCATTATCTGGCCAGTATGGTACAAGCTGAATGGTTTTAGGAGTTGAGCGGATACGAATGACCTTGGGACTAAGATCACTCATGACGAAAATTATGTCAAATAATATATGGTACAAGAACAAATGCAAAATGGAACGAACTCACCGGGGTTATCTGTGGATTTATCGTAGATGAAGTTCGCGGTTGGGCTCACCAGTTTAGAGGTTGGCGGAATTCTCTTACACAGCCTCTAATTTATTAGTTCTCGCGTACCAAAGACAAAGCAAAAGCCAATTTTTTATCGTCCAAACTACGTAATATATTTCGGGACAAAAACAAGCCTTCAGACGAACGCCTAGCTGGCTAATGATCGTGAACGCGACACGACGGGGTACCAAATGGCGGGGATGCTTGATCGGAAGCCTCCAGCTAAACAAGTTGACTTAAACAGTGGTGGTCAGCATCCAATGAGTGATTGCTGTGGTCAATAATTTTGGGGAATTATTCACCGCTACAGGTGCTAAGTGTCACAAATGTGGTAAAGTTGGACACATCAAGACTGTTTGCAGAACTTCGAATACTTATGTTGCTCAACATTCTTATAATTCTCCCAAGCTGTCTAGTAAAATGGAGTCAACGTGTCTTTCAACTTTTCAAAATACTCAAGCTAATCCAATGAAAACCTCCACTACAAGTTCAGCAACTCAAGCGTCAACTGTTTTGAAAATGAGGTAGCCGAGTTACAATGCGAACTGTCGAAAACACGGAAAAACTGAATGAGATGAGAGAGCAACTGATTAAAATGGAGGAATTGTTGCATATGCATAGACTGCGTCTGTTTAATGCAGAACATACAAGTACCCATGAAAGTCCTGCAAAACTATTCAAATCTCGAATTCTCAGTAAGCATCTGATGTCCACGACTTCTAATGTACATTATTACTAGGGGAATGATTATGGACCTTCTGTTGGAATCATACTACAAAGAATGGGAAATCGGATGGTGAAGATATTAGACATCGAAAATCACTCAGTTCATAACAGACACCTAGACAAAGTGACAATTAATGAAGTAGGTCGTTCCAATTAAAATTTTAATGATTCCTCTACTAATCCTGATTTTGTAGATAATTCAGAAATGAGTCCAGATGATACCGATGGAAATAATATCACAGAATCAGTTAGAAGGTCGAGGCCACATGCAAGCAAACCGAGACATCGTTATAAATACGCAAGGAGATATTCGACGTGTGGCGGATGTGGTGATTGACTATTTCTATCTCTGTATTGTTTAAATACTTACTGTTGATTGTTAATATTTCTTATATGAATTACAATAATAATTCCGCTAAATACAAATTCCTGAATTCCGCCATCTCTGTGTTTTGGTTGGATTCTTGTAATTCGGTCATCTCGAAATACTAATACTACGATTACAATTAATTACTACAGTTGATCACCAAACTGGAACTGATAAAAGTTAGTGAACCTATCCATCTCTATATAGTGATGAACTGATTGGCTTATAAAGGTAATTTTGAGGTGAGACGGCATGGAATTTTAAGCTGGAAAATCAATACTTGCTAACTGTTAGTCCAAAGGTTACTGGAGAGTTTGATTACTGTCAAGAGGAATTTGAAGAAGAATCATTCCTGCTGACGTGTCTTAGTTTTTGTAACTTTTCGCCAGGATTCCAATCAAACAGAACTTTCCACAAATATCATTCTTAATGTTTAGGCCACTTGTCAAAAGTTAAGACAGGAAATAATAAAATCACTAGTGATGGGGAGATGGCAGTAACAAATGGATGATACTGTCAAATGTGTGTGGTGGAGTTTTGGTTTCACTCCTGATAATGAAAGCTCAGTCAACGGCAGCTTATCACTGAATGCATTTCTGAGTTGTCCGCTAACAACGATGACTCTTCTTGCTTCCTATCATACTTTACCTGAAATAAATATAGAAATTCATTTCGGGGTGACTATTTTGAGGCCAACTGATTAAGCCAACCATGTTGCGACCCGGAAGAGTTACGATTTGAATAAGATTGTAGAAACCGACTTCTCTCTATTTTCTCTGTCTCTTCACATCTTCTCCATAAACTTCATCACTCCAACTGTCTATGAGGTATTTACGGGATTTAAGTCTTTGTGGTGATTAACAATTTCTATCTCTGTATTGTTTAAATACTTACTGTTGACTGTTAATATTTCTCATATGAATTGCAATAATAATTCCGCTAAATACAAATTCCTGAATTCCGACCTCTCTGTGTTTTGGTTGGATTCTTGTAATTCGGTCATCTCGAAATACTAATACTACGATTACAAATAATTACAACAATTTGGCGTCGCGAGCAGGATTTCTTTTGGGCTTTTTGGGATCGACATGACTACGTCGTGCATGAAGGAATAGTTGACTGAGGGTCTCAAAAAAGTCTTCACACTGTCGACATGTATATACTTTAACGAAATGTTTTTTTCGCATATGTTTAGTAAAAGCATTAGCATTGGTATACATTGCCGAACACGATGTACAGCGGTAAGTTACTCCACTAGATTGAACGAAGCCTGGGTCATAATACGCTTTTGAGTTTGTATCCCAAAGTTGTATTTGATCTGCTGGTAGTTAAATTACTTGTGTTCCTTCCATACTGGGGTCGGCGAACCGCAGATACTCTGTGCCATTTTCAGTCGCAATAGCTGTGACAGCACCTGAAGAGATCAAACTTTCCAGTGTCGCCGTGTCATCAGCCGCAATCAGAACCATTTCTTCTCCTTCGTTAGATAATCCCATTCCGTTCAACTGTAAAACTACTTGTCCATCTTCAGTTGCCCTTAGTGGTATAGCAGTGTAGGTACCATCAGCATTTGCAATATACGCTGACGTTTCACTCGAATCAACCAACTGATCTGACATCTCCAGCTAAATTAACCTGTAATATCCCGTTGGACAAGATGGCAGCTAGCAGCCAAACATCCTGATAAGGTATTCTTATTTATCGAATTTAGTCAACTACCTTCATACCTCTGATAAATTCGGAGATCCCTTAGATAAAACAGTGTTCACAATAGTTTGTGAAAATTAAGAACATATGAGTCCTACGTGTTTTTAATTCACATCACATTGAAATTATTCATACCTTCAAGTTTATTTGATCTCTGCATACATTTCCCAGGCAACACCACAAATAAACACGGATTTATGGGGTGCACCTTTTTCTCCCTGTTGACATTCCTCTGAGAAGGCCTTTGTGGATTAATTTCTTCAATATATATTACAATACTGCAGTTATTACAATATAAGTGAGATATTGACCAAAGAGTTTTGGCTGTCACCTAGACAGCGCCAAATGTATCAAAATAGATATCCGATGCCTATTCGAATAACTATCCCAAGTTGCTCATAATACATATGAAATTTTGTGGACTCTAAATATTTTTAATTGTTCAATGTTCAATACACTGTGTAATATCTTCTGAACCTATTTTCTTAGTTCATTTAATTCAAGACTGGATATGTATATTGAACTGTTTAAACTTTTGACACATGCTAAACAGATCATTGGAATGTAAAATATCTTGAAAGAAAGATAACTGTCTTCACTAAACTGATTTTCTGCTCACATTAAGCATTTTACGTTGATAAATCAAGCTTCAGTAAATGTAAAGAATCAATAAAAATGTAAAAACGCACATATTTTCTGCACGATGCTGTCAAGGTTATTTGAAGTTTATTTAGCTGACACATTTTGTTTTTGTAAGTTACAATAAGGTGCAAAGAATTTTATTAAATTCAATGACACCATATGAGATGAAACTATGGTAAGACGAAAAGTTTTGAAGTGCTGATTCCGTTTAGTTAATTAAGTTTAAATTTTATAGTGTATAGTATTAGAAAATGATGTAACCAACATACGATTTCATTTGATTCTCAGTAGAAGTAAATTGTGAAAATGAAAATACACATAAACGAACGAGATATACTGATCTTTACACGATACTACTATTTTCTATCAATCAGTAGTACATGGTCCTATGAAGAAAAGATTTTCTGAGGTTAAGAAATTTCAAAAAATTAGCCCTTTTAAAAATTTTGAAAGAGTTATCAGAAGACGGAGATTATCTGAAAAATGTGATGTATTATCGCTATACATTTCGAACAATCTGATCACATATTTACTTGTCAAGTTAATATATATGGAAAAGTTGGATTAAACAAAGTGACAAAGAAAAGAATTGAGAATAATTAACACAACGTTTGGTAATCCAATCAAATAAGGATTACCAAGATAGGTTAAGAGTAATAACAAATTGCTTTTGAATACACGGAGGGGGCTTAAGTTTATGAATGGCAATAGCCTCAGTGTATTTCAATAAGCGCATTTGACCGCTTTTATAAATGACATTAAAGGCTGAGTTAATATCAACCTTATGGTTCATCTCAATTAGGTGTTTAGCTATAGACGAAGTTGGTAGTCTGACACCTGCATCTATTGGTTTTCCACAATTCATTTGTTTTTCTAACCATTTTGTGATATGCTCTCCCACCCTCTCATATGCAAAGCGCGATTACTCCTCCCTATGTATGTATGTCCACACACACACACACGAAAATTGGTAAATTGTGTGGGATGTGATATAATCACTTGTGCGCTTTTGAGGTTTGCAGTGGAGTATATTTTTAGCTTATTCCACAACTGCAAGCTGGGTTGCATAATAGGTTCTGCGGATGATCGAATTCAACCTTTGTCTCAAAATCCTACTGTTTATTTCCCGTTATTCGGTAACTTGATGAAAACCTTTTTCTTGGGGGCGGTATGGATTGTAGGTTTAGAGACTAGTTGACTTCTACACCTGTTTAAAAATTTTAAAAGATATCCGTTTTCAACAAGAATATCCATCAATATTTCGTTTTCTTTGTCTATAACATCAGCTGTACAAATACGCCTAATCCTCTTAAATAGACATTTCACCAAGCCTCTCTTATACTGTAATGGACAGAAACTGTGAAAATTAAGGTATTTCCCTGTTCAAGTGGGTTTTCTGTAGATTGATCATCTTATTGAACCATCGTCCCTTGGACTCAGAAGGATGTCTAAAAATGCAAGCTGGCTACGACTTTCTTCCTCGCATGTAAGACTAATATTTATAGTTAAGTTTGCCTAATAGACGACTCGCATCCTCATGATCGTCGCATATCAAAATGATATCATCTACACATCTCCTATAGAAGAGCAATTTTGAAATTAAATCAAGGGATAAGTTTTCAACATAAGATATGTAAACGTCCTCTAACAAAAGGTCCTTATGGACTCCTCATAGCAACGCCATCCACTTGTTGAAAATGTTCACCTTCAAACGTGAAATAGACGTTGTCAGTACATAATAATAATGAGTCTTTCAAATAAGTTAAAGGAAAAGGAGATGAAAAACAACTAGAAGATATATAGTCACAAAGAATATCAACAGTCTTAATCAATGGTACATTAGTAAACAAAGAATTAACATCAAATGAAAACATTTTCCTATCTTTTATGTTCACATCTACAAGACAGTCAACAAGTTCAAATGTACCTTTCAAAGTAAACTTACATAATTCATTGCGTACTGGACTTGAAGTATCAGCTAGCCATTTTGCTAATTTATGTGTAGGAGATCTACACATAGAAAGAATAGGACCTAATGGGTTGTCAACTTTATGAATTTTGGATAATCCATAGAGGTTTGGAAAGTCAGATCCCATGGGTTTCAAGGGATTAAAATCCTGTTTATCGATAACGTCGATGCCACGAAGTTTTACCAAGTAAGAAGACAATTCTCCCTCCAATTTTCTGATGTCATTAGATTACAAAACAAAAATGTTATCCATCATTAACGACAAAAGCAAATTCACAGCCGATATTCCTTCGAATATATATATATATATATATATATAGTTCATAATTTTTTTGTTTTCGCTCATTCATGTTTTTGTATCTTGAATTATATTCCAAGTTGTTGATAGCTGTACTGAGCCACCCTTGTTACATGTATCCGGTGTGACCTTAATGAATATAGATTCTGTTACAAGTCTCTCTTTCCATTTGTTCATATTAGTTTTTAGAATACACACATTGTTCCAATCGATATTGTGGTTTTTGTCCCATACATGTGCAGCTATAGATGAATTTTTTTCTAAATTCTTGTAGGCTTGTGTTACTGTTGGTTGACCTTTGGTTAGGCGTTTATGTTCATTCATATAGAAAATCAAAACAAGTGATTCAGCGAAGAGACTCTTTTCAACGAATTTATCATCAAGCTGTACAGTCGTATATATATGGTTTTTAAGAAGTTATATGTTCATTCACTCTTATTTTGAGTGATCTGGACGTTTGCCCCACATATTTAGTCGGACAGTCAGCAAGATATTTTGTAAATCAAATTGTATTTATCCGTCATTTTAATGGGATCTTTCAGTTGATTTATTTTATTTTTGATTAGATTCGTCGGTTTAAACGTTGTTCGTAAGCCGATATTTTTGAGGTTTCTTTGAATCGCCTCTGATGTACCATTTTTATATCGTATTGTCACTGCTTTTTTCCATGCTGCCATCTTGTTATTCTCCGGTTTTACCCTCTTTTTTCTCTTTTTTATATTATCCTTTATAAATTCTTTTGGATAGTTGTTTTAGAGTAACATTCTCAACAGGACTTTTATTTCTTTACACTGGTCCTCTGGTGTTGTTGTAAGTCTACTTATTCTATCTGTAAGACCTTGTATTAATCGTCGTTTTACCGTGAGTGGATGAGCTGAGTGATAATCAAGGAATCTTCCAAAGTGTGTGGTTTTTCTATATATCGTCGTTTTTATACTACCATCTGTCATTCTATGTAGTTTGCAGTCTAACATAGACAGTTCCCCAATTTCATTCTCTATTTCCATAGTGAATTTTATTGTGAGAAAAGTTTCTCAATATCGTTTTTTTCACTATTACTAGTGTGTCTTCTTCATATCTCCACCAACATTTTAGTGATGACGTGAATGGTTTAAGGGCATTCTCTTCCCAATAATCCATGAATATGTCAGCTATTACTGGTGATATGGGCGATCCCATAGATACCCCTTCATTTTGTTGGTATATTTTCCCTTCAAATGTAAGATATGTTGTTGTTGGATGGAATTCCACTCCTTTTGTTATCTCCTTCCTGGATAACTGTGTCCTGTCTTTTAGGCCATTATCTTCTTTTAGTTTCTCTTTCAGTGCGTTCATGGCCATTTGAATGGGTATTTTCGTATAGAAACTGTTTACATCAAAGCTGATTAGTATTTCCTCTTCCTTTATTTTAGTGGTTTTTAGTCGCCTCACTAAATCAAATAAATCTACTATTCTAGCTTTCGAATTGTCTCTTGTTGGTCTTAGTATTGTCGAGAGAAATCTTGACAGCATATACGTTGGTGTGTTTCTGAAGTCTACAATCAGTCTTATTGGATATCTCTCTTTATGCAAATTTATCTTGCCATATATCCTAGGTATATTACGTGATTTTGGCATAATTTCAAACCATTTTGACTTACCAATTACTTCTTTCATTTGTCTAACTACCTTTGTTGTTTCTTTCATTGTTTTGTAGGTGATTGTTTCAGCTGATTTTGGTCATTAGGGAACAGGGTCCAGATTGTAGATGTTCATTCAACTTTTCATTATATGTTGTTTTGTTAAGTAATACTGTTGTGTTGCCTTTGTCTGCTTGAGTAATGACAATGGATTTGTCTCCTTTTATGTCTTGGAGTGCTTTTTGCTTTTTTAAGGTTAATGCACATTGTGCTCGTACCAGTTCTGCTTTTTGCTTATCATGTCCTTCGAGTGTTGTTTCAATTACAGTTATGATATCTTCAGGATTTAATCTTTTGTTGCTAACATTGAAATTTATCCTTTTC